CATAAGGCCTTGAGCTTCACTTAATTAGGATTACTTTCTTCTTCTCATATATTGACATATGCTTTCAATTCTGTAAAACATATAAACAATCATTTCACAAATCATGAGGTGAAATTATTAATGGATTTACATATAATAACTCTTAAGTGTCCTTAGTCTATCAGGCTTCTAAAAAACATTTTTTAGCAATCTAGAAAATAAAATTTGGCATGAATATATACTTTTTTATTGGTCAAAAGGAAAAACCCTACCATGTGCAATTTTTAGTTTTATAAGGATTCCCTCCTGTCCTGGCCAGTTATGTCTAATTTTGGCTCCAGAAACAGAGTGTGCCTTTAAGTGAAAAAATAACAAGTATAATTAATTGTGAGTCTCAGAATATGAGAAAATAGTCTAATGACTAGGTAAGTAATCCTTTTAGTGGTTCCCAAGCTTTTGCTCTTAAAAAAATTAAGCAGTCGGCCAGGTGCAGTGGCTCATGCCTGTAATCCCAGCACTTTGGGAGGCTAAGGCAGCAGATTGCCTGAGGTCAGGAGTTCAAGACCAGCCTGACCAACATGGCGAAACTCCGTCTCTACTAAAAATATAAAAATTAGCCAGGCGTGGTGGCAGGCCACTGCACTCCAGCCTCGGTGACAGAGTGAGATTCCATCTCAAAAAAAAAAAATTAGGCAGTCATCTGATAGACCCTTTAAAATAATTAATTTACAAGTTTGGCATATAATTGTGATTTTGGCATATAACTTGGAAAGAGTTCAAGGAACTGAATGACACTGCTATAACATTCCCTGGTCAGAAGGCTAATATCGCCATTAGGTACTGCACCCTGAGGCCAGTCATGTTTGAATGAAAAAATCATTTAGAGAACAAGAGAACATCTTATGGATTCTAACTAATATAAATGTACCAAGAAAGTAAAATGCCTTTGTTTCTCAATAGAGGTAGGTTTGCAAACTTTTATGAAGAACGAGGAAGACCTCTATTGTAGGGGAAAGCATCCTCAATCTGAAAGTCCATCTCCACTAAAATAAGCTATTAAGTAAAAAATCTGAGACTCAACCCAGGTGTTCAGGGCAGAGTCATAGGAGAGGCATCTTTAAAAAACAAGCTTCTGGATTTTTGGAGCTACAGAGGAGATTAACATTTAGCTTGATGGGAAGTATTCTAATAAGACACAGATGAATTACTCTGAGGACCTTCTGGAATGTTATCAGGATCTTGGAGATTAGATGAAGAGAAAGGATGGCATATTCGTGACTAAGGAAAACTAAGGCTAACTGCTTTAAAGATGAGAGTCTAGGGTGGATTTCAGGACACTAGAGGTGGCTTTTTGCTATATTTCAAAGCAGAGCTTTACAGCCAAAGTTGCTTGATTATTGAAGAGGAATCTGCCCTCCTTCAGGTCCGTGGTACTGTGACGTGGCTTATAAGGCTTGATTCTACCACATCTGATAGTATGTGTTTCCATCTGATAGATTGAGGAAACTCACAAATTCACCCCATGGTTGTTCTGGACCACTCCTCCATGACAGAGAATGAAAATCTCTCTTGTTTGGTAATCATCTCCCATATGATCCTTTACAGTGATTGCAGTGTACCCATTAACAAATTTGGTCCTCAGCTGGGTGTGGTGGCATGTGCCTGTAGTCCTAGCTACTCTAGAGGCTAAGACGGAAGGATTGCTTGAGCCCAGGAGTCCCAAGTTGCAGTGCCACTACATTCCAGCCTGGGCAACAAGAGAGTGAGTCCTGATCTCTAAAAACCAAACCAAAACAAATTTGGTCCTCACAAAAACTGTATGACATAGGCATGCCAGATGCCCGGAATGTATGTTTCCATCAATATAAAGTTCAAAACAAGCAGAACTAATCATTTTATTAGACACTATGTTGGTTATTACTTTTCAGAAGACAAAAGGGAAAAGTGACTGGGAAGGAGCATGATAGGGCCTTCAGTGGGTGCTGTTATCTTTTTTTTTTTTTTGAGACAGGGTCTCGGCTCTGTCGCCCAGGCTGGAGTACAGTAGAGCGATCTTGGCTCACTGCAACCTCTGCCTCCGGGGTTCAAGCGGTTCCACTACCTCAGCCTCCCAAGTAGCTGGGACTACAGGCACGTGCCACCACGTTCAGCTATTTTGTATTTTTAGTAGAGACGAGGTTTCACCATGTTGGCCAGGCTGGTCTCGAGCTCCTGACCTCAAGAGATCTGCCTGCCTCGGCCTCCCAAAGTGCTGGGATTACAGGCATGAGCCACCGCATCTGGCTGCTGCTGTTATCTTTACCTGAGTGTTTAGATAAACCATGGTGTGTTTATTTTATAATTCACTGAGCTACATACAGATGATCTGTGCATTTTCTCTACGTAACAAAAACTTCATTATTTTTTAAAAAAAAGCTATCATTTTAATCACTGCATCAGAACCACCCATAAAAAATATTTAATAGACATATGTAGCTAAAAGATGCAGTAAAAATACTGAATGTACTATAAAGAGAAACCACTGATTGTGAATGTAAAATTACTTGTTCAACTACTTCCATTTATTCTTACCCATCTAAAACCTAAAGTTAAGAAGTAAAAATTTAAAAAGATACATAGGAGGACAAAGATATTCTACAATAGTTGAGGATACAGCACTTTTTCCTAATGTCACCCATATTCCTCACCTCTATCCTTTTCCCCCTCTTGTATTTTCTTATTTTCCATAATTCTTCTCTACTTTCTTTCCTATTTCCTCTAATCCTCCAAGGTATTTTCCTAGGTAACTGGAGATTATGAAACAAGGGCATATTAGGAAGCTTCCTGGGTTAGCCTGGGACAAATGCAGCTTTCTTTCAGGTCTCTTATTTTTTCTCCTTGTCCTCAAATTCCATAGTTTTTTTCTGACATCTCTTTTTCTCACATCTCTCCCTTTGTTTCTACCTCCATTCCTTTCCAAATTATACCCCCAGAGTCCACCTAAAACACACAGAATAGAAGGTGATCAACCAGTATTTTTTCCCATAAAATTATGTTCTCCAATTTAAGCAGGATTAAAGCCATAAACACTGACATCTGTATGGCTGTACAGAGAAAATATAACCAGTAGTTTTCTTGGACAAATAAAAAGGAAGAGATGCCTCTGCCTGTCTTTATGATTCTCCACATTTCAAAATTCTGCATTGGTTTTGAACTCTTTTTCTGGCCCCAAACACCTGAGGGACAGGACATTCCCACCTGTAACAGTGGTGTGATGGTTAGTTTTATGTGTCAATTTCGCTGGGTTGTGGTGCCCAGATATTTTCTCAAACATTATTCTAAAAGTTTTCATGAAGGTTTTTTTTGTTTGTTTGTTTTTGTTGTTTTGGATGAGATTAAAATTTAAATCAGTGGACTCTAAGTAAAGCCAATTAACCTCCATAATGTGGCTGGGCCTCGTTTAATCAGTTGAAAGCCTTAAAAGAACAAAGATTCATATCCCCAAAGTAAGAAGAAATTCTGCCACTAGACTGCCTTTCGACAAGAACAGTAAATCCTCCCTGCGTCTCCAGCCTGCTAGATTTTGAATTTTAAAAGCCTCCTTAAAATAAACTTTTCTCTCCCCTCACATCCCATTGGTTCTGTCTGTCTGGAGAACCCTAACTCAAGTAACAAAGATAGTGATCCTTAACAAGAGATGAAGGGGAGGAGGACTCTAAAGAAAAAGCACAGGGGCTGAGGTGATGGATAATTTTGGAAGAGTCAGGTGCTGAGTTTACGGCTTACCTACTATTACCATTCACTAGCCTTCCTCTACTATAGAAGCTGGAGTGCTAAAATGAACTTTCTTGCTTCCCTTGCAGCTAAGGGGTAGTCATGTGACACAGTTCTGGCCAAAATTATTGAGAAGGGCCTCTTTCTCAAATAAAAAGCCCAAGTACCATTCTTCCTGCCCAGACTAGAAAGAATTCAGACATAAAAACGGTGCCTGCAAGAGCTGATATGCAGCTCTGCCACTGCTGTCACCATTCCCCAGTATTCTATACACAATATTCCAAATAAGAGTGAACGTAGAATTTGCGTTTTTAGGTCAACCTATATTCTGACCTGTTTGGAAAGCTGAAAAACTTATCCTGTTTCATTTAAGTATATATATAGAACTTTTAAGAACACAGCTGTGGCCAGGAGCAGTGGCTCACGCCTGTAATCCCAGCACTTTAGGAGGCTAAGGTGGGTGGATTACTTGAGGTCAGGAGTTCGAGACCAGCCTGGCCAACATGGTGAAACCCCATGTCTACTAAAAATACAAAAATTAGCCAGACGTGGTGGTGCACACCTGTAATCCCAGCTACTCAGGAGGCTGAGGCAGGAGAATCGCTTGAACCCGGGAGGTGGAGGTTGCAGTGAGGTGAGATGACACCACTGCACTTCAGCCTGGGCGACAGAGCAAGACTCTGTCAAAAAAAAAATCAAAAAAAAAAAAAAAAAGCCACAGCTGTACTTAAGCTCCACTGAGGATACATAAGCACAAACACTTAAATGAGGGAGACTTGGACTAGAAAAATTTCCTAAAAGTACTGATTACGAAGCATTAGCAATCATAACCATGAATTAATAAGGATGGCTATAGAACAGCTTTTAAAAAGGGTGTTTGAAAATATGGCATGAATTGTTTTATGGCATTCCACTTTAAAGAATGCAGTTAGAATAGATGCCTTAACATCATTTGTACTCTGTAATCTACCACTGGATTTAAAAGTTTCCTTCAATACACTTTTAGATCTGTTACAGTAGAGAATTAAAGAATGTTATACAAAATCATTGTGTAATAAAACTTCACTAACATCATTAAGAAGAAACTTATTGGCCAAGTTGATGAAAAATGTAAATAAAGTGTCTAAACTAATAAATATTTAAGTCAACAGTATCCTATATTTAAGGCTACCAATGATGTACCTCTAAAAATATGATTTTCTCCATACCCACCTATAAAAAGAAAAATCAAGTGTTACCACATAATAACTTCAAAATTCTGGGCTTACCTTTTTTTTCTCCAGTGTAGGGCACATAGTCTTCCCTGTCTTTATGCTCCAATGCTTCCTTCTCCAGATATGAAAGGAGATGCTCTCTATCAAATGGCCCTGTGGCGGACTTTGATGTCTGGTTCTTCTGCCGGAACCCTGCAGGCAGAAGGGCATTCTGCCAGAGAGAATGAATCAGCCAGTATGACCAAAAAGAATGCTAATGCTATATGCTTCCGAAGATTACCCATATAAAAAAGAATTACAGACCGGAATGTGATACAGACACTAAACACTTCATTGCAGGATTTTAGGACAGCAATATACAACTGCTCCAAACATGAAACTTCTTTTTTATTAGGTAGAATTCACTTACATTATTATTAAAATAGGCACATACATTAGTACAGTTTCTTTTCTTTTTGGAGACAGAGTCTCCTTCTATCCCCAAAGCTGGAGTGCGGTGGCACAATCTTGGCTCACTGCAACCTCCGCCTCCTGGGTTCAAGCCATTCTCATGCCTCAGACTCCCAAGTAGCTGGGATTATAGGCGCCTGCCACCACACCTGGCTAATTTTTGCATTTTTGGTAGAGATAGGGTTTTGTCATGTTGGCCAGGCTATTCTACAACTCCTGACCTCCGATGATCTGCCCTCCTCAGCCTCCCGAAGTATTGGGATTACAGGCATGAGCCACCGCGCCCGGCATATGTTTTCTAATAGAACATTTTCTTCAGAGAGGATTCTACTAGCAGGAAACAATCTTTAGTTTTTAAGTGTTCTGGGATACTAATAAAAAAGTTTTATTAACCACATACCGCATCTTCTCACTTACCTAAGTGGGAACTAAATGATGAGAACACACAGACATATAGAGCACACACACTGGAGCATAGAGGAGGGAGGGTGGGAGGAGGTAGAGGATCAGGAAAAATAACTAACAGGTATTAGGATACCTGGGTGATGAAATAATCTGTACAACAAACCCCCATGACACAAGTTTACCTACGTAACGAACCTGCACATGTATGTCTGAACTTAAAATAAAAGTTTTTAAAAAAAGTTTTATTAATGCTTAATTGCTCAGTGTATATGTACAGAGAATAATTCTATTACAAGAGTGTTAAATGACTCTGTACATGATATTTCTTCATGACTTCCATTTCATTGTACAGACTTTTTCATGATTAAAACATGTATACCACACAGTAGACTATCAGATTGTTTACTTCAGTTTAAACACAATGTGAGATGTTCCACTTATGTGTGTATGCATACATATATACATGAGCACTAGGATGTACTTGCAACAATCACTATCATTGTTTCACATGCCCCAAGGGACCCCTGAAATACTCATAGCAAGAGCTATGTTCCTGGGTTTCCACATGGGTAAAGCTTTTGAGTGCATGGACTGACTTAGAGTTGAGGGAGGTGGAGTAGAAGGTGATGGATTAAAGTTTTCTCCTGTAGTCCCTTAATTTTCACTAAGCGCAGTAAACACAAGGGCTGACTAGACAAAGAGAGCACCGTCCTTTTGCTTGTCAAAAGCCAAAGAGATGATACTGCCTTGTCTCCTATTTCTGGGTATATCTTTGCTTTGAAAATGGGAGGCAGCCAGAGAAATCACACAGAAGGGCCAGCCCTCTTTTGCAAAACCTCCCAATTGAATTTCATGGGTGGTATAAGACAATTTTTCATTATAAAGGGTAATCTTATAAGGGTAATGTTAATAGAAAATATTCAATTTGTAACTAGGAAATACAGCACTTCAACTGTGGTCATTTGTTGAGATACATAATAATTTTCATAAAATTCACCTGTGTTACCCTTTATGTAATGGTACCTACTACACAGAAAGCTGAACTATAAAGATGAGACACACAGGAGGTCCATTCCTAACTCTGTACCAAGTATATTTCTGTAATACAAAATTGTTTATGGAACCATAAAAAAGAAACATAAGATTTCTACCTTTAGACTTAGAAATCAAGAGAGGAACTACACATGAAGAATCCATTTCCAATTGACCTGCAAACCCTACTCTTTTACTTCCTGAAGAACTCATTCATCTTTTTCCCATCTCCAACATTATTACTTTGGTCCAAACTATGATCCAAGCTTGCTGAGACTGTTACACTAGCTTCCCAACTGTATCAGTTGCCTGATATTTTTTATCCTTCACCACCAGCCCCTCAGTCTGTCACCCTAGGCTCATCTCATACATCCTCTCCATTCCAGTCACACTGGACTTTTTTTTCTCTCTTGTACTTGCTACATACTTCCTTCTACCACCAGGCCTCTATGTGTGTGGTCTCCCTTCCCTGGAATGCTCTGCCTATCCCTTTTTGCAACTCATTTTTCAGATTGTAGCTCCATTCCCCCAGGGAAGCTTTTCTTAACCTCTCATCACAAGCTCTTACAGTGTGTAGCATTTACCATTCTTTTAATATGGTATGATTATTTGATTAATGTCAAACTGCTCCTATTCCTACCAGCCTGCGTCATGAGGGCAAATACCACATTTGTTTTGCTCATTCTTGTATTCCTAAGCCTAGCATAGTACCTGAAATCTACAAGTTGTCCCCAAATATTTACTGAATAAAGTAAATGGTAGAATGCTTTTAAAGATTCTCATTAAGGCAAATTAATAAAAAGTTACTTTACTTCTCCATCAATAATGCATAGATGTATATATTGCTATTTCATGGCGGTGGTAATGGAAGTTGCACTACTCTACCTGCCTGCTCAAGCCCATGCGACACACACAGTCCTAAATATGATAGCTGAAATCCTGGCTCCTTAGAAAGCCTTTTTTTCTTTCTTTCTTTTTTTTGGAGGGAAGACAGGGTCTTGCTCTATTGCTCAGGCTGGAGTGCAGTGATGTGATCATAGCTTGCTGAAACCTTGAACTCCTGGGCTCAAGCAATCTTCCTGCCTAGGCCTCTGGAGTAACTGGAACTACAGGTGTGCACCACTATGCCCCCGGCTAATTTTTATAATTTTTTGTAGAGGCAAGGTCTTGCTATGTTGTCCAGGATGGTCTGGAACTCCTGCTCTTAAGCAAATCTCCCTTCTAGGATTACAGGTATGAGCCACTATACCTGGCCAAAAGCAGTCTAACCACAAACTAAATGACAGCTAGCTGGTTTTAGAGGCTATAAACCCATGAACCAAGCTTCATTAGAAATATACTCTAATCAAGTAAGCTAATAGATCATAATTACTTTTCAGATAAAAATTTTCTTTAATATGACTGTCACTAAAAATGACATGTTTCTCTCTTGTAGTGCAATTTTGCTGTAAAATATATTCCCAGCCTTCGGGGGTGGGGCAGGGGAAAGCTTTTGCTAGGCTGGCTGTCTTCTGGGGATAGATTTTTTTTTTTTTTTTTTTTTGGCAAAAATGCAGTGAGTTAGCAAACACGTACACTGAATACAGCAGAAGGACAGTAAAACAGTCCTCCAAAATATAAGGTACCACACATACCTTCAACCTACTTCCTGAGACTTTGTAAGTTACAGTGGTGTTTCGCTGCTACTATCCTTGACCTCTTTTCTTACCTGGTTCTTTACCAGAATGCTTTCCAAAAACATGTCACCCAACAAACAGATGCTGTCATAAACATCATTGTTCTCCTAGTCTCAACTAACAGTATTGAGGTTAGGGGAGTTATGACTGGGGTTGGGGAGTTTGCAAAAGACATTTAGAGGCTAATCAAGCCTCCCCACACAAGAAGCAGGCCATGGATTTACAAATGAAAAATAAGCCATCAGATTTCAGACTGATACCATAGTGCATGAGTTGGGAGGAGACTCAGTGTGGTTTAACAGAAAGACTGCTAGACCGTCAGGTATCAATGAGGCAGTGAGGGCCCTAGTCCCAGCTCTTTCCCTAATTGTAATAACTGAGGTAATTTCTGTTTTCCATCTGTAAAACAGAGGGCATGAACTAGATCAATGTTTCTGAACCAGTAGTGTTTTTGTCCCCTATGGGACATTTGGCAATGTCTGGAGACATTTTTGGTTATCAGCTCAGGGGGAGGAGTATTAATCACGGTTTTCAGTCTGGGTAACATAACGAGACCTTGCCTCTACAAAAAATTTTACAAAGAAATTAGCTGGGTATAGTGGTGCTTGCCTGTAGTCCTAGCGACATAGGAGGCTGAGGTGGGAGGATCGCTTGAGCCAGAAGTTCAAGGCTGCAGTGAGCTATCATTGCACCACTTCACTCTTGCCTGAGGAACAGAGTGACAACTGGGCTCTAAAAAAAGTCATGTTTTTTATTTTCTGAGTTTTCTGATGCTTTGACATCTTGGGGCCCTGCTAATCCTGGAGACCACTCCTTCCAGGGCTAGCTAGAGAGCACTACTCCCTACCAACCTCACCCTGAGCACACCTTTCATATGCAAACCAACCAATTCTCCTAACCACCTCTTTTTTATCTAATTCTCACTTACCACGCCAGTATTTCCCCTCCCCCTAAATCACCCAGAGCCAGATATTAGACAACTAGAGACTACTTACATAGCCCTGAGCCTGTTAAAATTATTCAAACTATCTAGTCCTAAACTTGTTAAAATTTGCCTATCCTGACTCACCCATTCATTCCTATTGAACCACAATAAAGGCTCTTGGCCATGCTTGTTCCTTGATCCTTTTGCCGCCTGACCAACCTGGGTGCTTCCCCATGTGCCTCTGTGTGGCATGGTGTGCCTCCTGCTCTTGGAACTGTAAGTAATAAACCCTTCTTTCAAGGCAGTAGTTTCAGTGTCTGTCATCCATTACCAAACCTGATTAAAACAACATCCTAGGAATATTTTAAAACAGGAGGAGTGTGCTGCTGGCCAGGGATGTTGTTAAACATCCCTCCAATGCACAGGACAGCCCCCCTACAACAAATTATGCAACCTCAAAAGTAAATAGTGTCAAGATTGAGAAACCTGGACTAGGGACTAGATAAAGTCTTATGCTTTTTCCAGTTCTTTTATTTATTTATTTATAAATTTATTTATTTATTTATTTATTTTTGAGATAGTCTTGCTCTGTCACCCAAGCTGGAGTGCAGTGGTGCAATTTCGGCTCACTGCAACCTCCACCTCTCTGGTTCAAGCAATTCTCATACCTCCGCTTCCCAAGTAGCCTGGGATAGCCTGAGACTACATGCATGCACCACCACGCCCAGCTAATTTTTGTATCTTTAGCAGAGACGGGGTTCACTATGTTGGCCAGGCCGGTCTCGAACTCCTGGCCTCAAGTGATCCACTCACCTCGGCCTCCCAAAGTGCTGCGATTATAGGTGTGAGCACCCGTCCACTTTTTCCAGTTCTAAAACCATTTGATTCAAATAGGTCTAACAGATTGAACTGCCTACAGAAGATATTGCTGTGATGTGATAAAAACAGCACTGTTATCCTGAGTAATCCCCCTCCAATTAGGTGTACTGGGAACTTTTCCTTATAATAGTAATTATGGTTAAGGGACTTGATCTATGGTAATAGACACATCATCCAGTAACAAGAACAATGTTATAAAATGAACTCCATCTCAGTCCTTAGAGGATACTTAAAATCAACATCTTGGCATAAAGAAATGTGGTAAAGAAAAGAAGCCTAGCAAACAACCATTACCTTCAGGACCTTCAGGTTCTTACCTCACTGCCCCTCCCCCGACATATAAGGGAATAACAATTCAAGGGTCATGGGTGTCTATCTAAGCCTTGTGTAATTTATAAGACAAACAACATCCACCTTGCAAGTTAAAGCTTACAAACATATATTCAGGTCTGCTCCACAGTGGACTGCTGTATTGTCAAGAAATTACTTAGATCTATTCTTCCAAAGACTGGAAACTTAATCGATTGGGTCAGCATCTTTCAGAAAGGGAACAATTAGATTTAGGGTCATGAAGAATCTTTTAGAGGCATGCTACACTGGAGTCACGTGGCATACAAACTCGGAAGAGACAGAGGTTGGCGTGTATCAAAAAGGTAATCATCTGCTGCATTGTACTAAAAATATCCCTGCCTGCACAGAGGAGAAAAATTTCTTAGAGGAGGAAGAAATTTCAGGAGATGTTTGAAAATAAGGATACTGGAGTAGTTTAGGACAGTCATGTTAGTAAACATATGGAGGCAGAAGTGGGGAACTGGAGAGGAAGCCAAAAGCAAATTGATTTGGATAAAGAGGAGGGGGTAGAAGGTGCCAGAGAAAAGTCATGAAAAAGCTCAAAGGCAGCTACTGAGTTTCAAAGAATTTGAAAAGTTATTTCATTTCTCTTCATCAGCTAGCACCTACCTCTGGGTCAAGATCATCCAAAACAGTTTCCAGTTGTTTCAGTTCTGTTTCTGACAGATTCCCAAGGAGCTCATCTTCATCAAGGTCTTTGTACTTTTCTAAGTCCTTACGGAATGGCAGTGCCATGATTTACAGTGGAGCAAGTCACTTAATTTTTGCTGTTCAGTACAGTCAGAAGTGATCTCTACTTTTTCTTAAAGCTATGGAGAGAAGAAACAAAAACATTTTAAATAGTAAGTCATCTCCACCTACTTCAATCTAATTCTTAGGTTAAGTGAAATGTAATTTCCATATGTCATATATTCTTTGATCATATATCACATGCTATTCTTCTTTATGAATCATTCAATGTCGTTTGCCTTGTGTTGAAAAAAAAAAACAGGAAAAAAGAGGGAAAAGATAAAACAAAATTCAAATCCATTAAGGCAGTCACTTGACAGAATTTAGAATTTCTAATAATTAAATTTTAGGGGGAAAGAAATTATGTGCCAAAATAAAAGTTTTTCCATCAATGGTTTTCAAATTATTTTACCAGAGTACTTTGCTTCAGCACAATGTGTTTAAGGCACATTTGTTTTACTATATATTATTCAGCAGCACAATATGACTCAATATTAATATGGGGGGATATCAATACATTCCACATGACAGGAGTGGTCTCTTGCCACTAGGAAAAATTTTCTTTTGAAAAGATGCATTTGAAAATATTTTTCTGAGGTGTTTTTAAAGGAAAAAATACAGCATTCTGAAGATGTTTGAGTAAAATACTCAAAATCATGCTGGGATATGTCACCCACTGATTGACAAGGTTGGTCGGAGGGTCTGACTATGGGAAGGCACCATCATCGTTTCCTTATTGTGTGATCTCTCCTGGACAGCTATGAGGTTAATCAACAAGCAGGTTAATAGAAGCTCTAGAGACACAGAAGTTGGCATATATCAAAGAGCTAATCATCTGTTGATTTGGCAGGATTGTTCTATAGGAAAGGCGAAAAACCAAGGATTTCTCTATATTCCAGTCATATGTATGAACCATCTGTCTCATAAAATATACCTAGTACTGGGCCAGATGCAGTGGCTCACATCTGTAATCCCAGAACGTTGGGAGGCTGGGGCAGGTGAATCGCTTGAGCTCAGGAGTTTAAGAGCAGCCTCAGCAACATGGTGAAAAATATGAAACATCAGCCAGGTGTGGTGGTATACACCTGTGGTCCCAGCTACTCAAGAGGCTGTGATGGGAGGATGGCTTCAGCCCAGGAGACAGAGGTTGCAGTGAGCCGAGATCATGCCATTAGACTCTAGCCTGGGTGACATAGCAAGACCTTGTCTCAAAAAAAAAAAAAAAAAAAAAGTACTTACTACCTATGGAAATAAATGGAAATACACTTTAGACTTAGTGATTTGGTTAAGTTTTTCTTGACTGCAAAATGCTCAGTACTTCAGTTTGACATATTTACTACTCCTTCCCTCAAGTTTTCTCAACTTAATATTTTAGTATGTTTTTCCTGCCAAACCAGTAACATTTTAAGGCTCCTTTGATGTGTTTCCATCTCCCATGAATGGAACTGTTCAAAGTGTTTAGAAAGGCAGGCTCACCGCAAGAGTCTGACAGCAACTTGACTAGCAACCACCTTAGGTCCAACAACAAGCAAATGGGGGAGCTTCCTGCATGTGTTTGTGGTTGAGAACCTCCCCATGGGGTTGTAGAGTTTGGACCTCATTGTAGAGATAATTCAGGAACACAAAGATCAGCTCCCCGAATTGGAACAGCTGGAGCACACTGGACTGTTCAGTCATGCAGAGATTAAGGCTATCATTAAGAAGGCTTCTGATCTAGAGTAGAGAATCCAGGGAAGAGCCCTTTTCAAGGACGACTTTACCAATTATGTTCAATATGAAATTAATCTTTTGGAACAGATCCAGAGAAGAACATGCATTGGATATTCATTTAGAAAGGATGAGATTGAGAATTCTGTTGTACACGGGGTACAAGGTGTTTTCCGATGTGCCTCAGCAAAGAGGAAAGATGATATTCAACTTTGGCTCTCCTATGTAGTTTTTTGTTTGTTTTTTGAGGTGGAGTCTTGCTCCGTTGCCCAGGCTGGAGTGCAGTGGCATCACGTCGATTCACTGCAACCTCTGCCTCCCAGGTTCAAGCAATTCTCCTGTCTCAGTCTCCCGAGTGGCTGGGACTACAGGTGCTCGCCACCATGCCCGGCTAATTTTTGTATTTTTAGTAGTGACGGGGCTTCACCTTGTTGGTCAGGCTGGTCTCAAACTCCTGACCTCAGGTGATCCACCCGCCTCGGCCTCCCAAAGTGCTGGGATTATAGGCGTGAACCGCCGCGCCCGGCCTTCTATGTAGTTTTTTGTAAGAAATGGGCTACTAAAACTCAACTTAGCAAGGTATTTTCTGCCATGTTGGCCATTCATTCCAACAAGCCAGCTTTGTGGATTATGGCAGCCAAATGGGAAATGGAAGACTGATTGTCTTCAGAAAGCACAAGGCAACTATTTCTTTGGGCACTGCACTTTCATCCAGAGGGCCCTAAACTTTATCAAGACTATTTTAGAATGAGGCTGATGCATGCTGAAAAACTGAGGAAGGAAAAGCAAGAATTTGAAAAAGCCAACATGGATGTGGAGAATCCTGATTATTCTGAAGAAATCCTTAAGGGCGAGTTGGCACGGATCATCTACGAAAATTCTGTAAGTATAATTTGAGGTGCAGAATTTCATGTGTCACTGCTTTCAACTGCATGGCGATTTGACTTTGCCAAAGGTCACAAAAAGAAATTTATGATGACCCTCAGGCTCTACACACAGATGATCTTCTCACTTGGGATTATGCGGCAAGATGAGAATTAGAGATCGAGCCACAGACGGGAGAAGAGCAGCCTACAACGAAGTAAGACAAAGCAGAGGAGGGCCAGAAGGAGGAGAGATGTTGCGCCGCATATGAAGAGGCAGTGAAGACTGCCAACGGAGGCCATGTGGAAGTGTTACATCACCTTTTGCTTGGAAAGATTTACTAAGAAGACAAATAGTGGGTTCCTCAGAGGGAAGAGGTTGGAAAGAACCATGACTGCATTCAGAAAGGCACAAGAACAAGCTTCTGCCAGAATTCCAATACAAGCAGTTAACTTGAGTTGTTGCTGTGCCATAACCTCCTGAGGGAAGCTCTGGAGGTGGCAGTAGCTGGGACTGAATTATTTAGAGACTCTGGGACAATGTGGCAGATGAATGTGCATGTCGTGATTGACTCAAAGAGCCCTGACATAGCCATGCTTTTTGAAGAAGACTCTGTGCACCTGGAACCCCAGGTTTGTCTGCCATTGCAGACTTCTTGACAGAGTGGAGTGAAGATGCCAAAAGCCAAGAAGACACTGAGGCAATCTTTAAGAAAGTTCTCTTAGCTGTCACAGGTGCCAACTCAGTAACCCTGAAGGGTAAGTACCTGGATTGGGCTTATCAACATGGTGGCTACAAAAAAGCCAGAGCTGTGTATACAAGTTTACAGGACAGTCATCCATTTTCAGTTGACTTTTTCAGGAAAATGATTCAGTTTGAAAAGGAGCAACAATCCTGCAAGATGGTGAACATAAGAGAATATTATGAGAGGGCTTTGAGAGAGTTTGGATCTGTAGATTCTCATCTTTAGATGGATTATATCAAGGAACCACTGAACCACCCCCTTGGTAGACCTGAGAACTGCGGACAGATCTACTGGCGAGCAATGAAAATGTTGCAGGGAGAGTCAGCAGAGGCGTCTGTAGCTAAACATGCTATGGAGACTGGCTGTTTGTGAAGAGGAAGAATACAGCCAGCTTTGTGAAACAGTATTGCAAGCCCTGTGGGCAAATATGTATTATGAGTCTATTTTTGTAATTTGTTCAGAGATGGCAGACAAGATGGCTGTCTGATTTCAAGACACACCTTAATTTTATGTTAACTTGTTAATTTTTTAAAAAATTAAAAACTTTAATTTTTTGATTGAAAAAACTAATCATGATTGAAGACAGGGTCTTGTCCTGGCTGGTCTTGACCTCCTGGATTCAAGTGACCCTCCTGCCTCAGACTCCCGAGTAGCTAGAATTATAGGCACAGGACACCATGCTCATGATGCACTAATCTCCAATTCCAGGAAAGAGAACTACTGATTTAACGTTGAGATGTTGAGGCCAGATCTACCATAGGTCCTAAATGTTTTCCAGAATACATGGAAAGCATACGACTGGGTTTTACCTATCCTAGTTCAAGCATGAGTATCTCTAGCTAGGAGTCAGTTAAAATGAAGGAGAAAGTACAGTTTTGTTGGTTTATTCTCATTATAAAAGATACATTTATGCATTTGTTCTGGAAAATATGGAGGAAATAGAATAGTGTGTCAAAAAAATAAAAAAATCCTGTAATCATAGGAAAAAAAAAACCAAGCAAATGAACAGAATTTGTTTATGCAGATATTACATTGCAGGCAACTTGTGTAACTGCCCAAGACAGGTCTGGTTTACACCTGTTTTATTGGCACCTCTTCTGGTTTACTGGTTATCTTGAAATTTTTTTCTTTTTTTCTTTTTTTTTAGCAAATTATTATCATTGTCATTACTGTTTGTTAAGCCTCCATTTTGTACTTCCAACTTTAAGATAGCAAGCTTGGCCAGGCACAGTGGCTCACGCCTGTAATCCCAATACTTTGGGAGGCTGAGGTAGGAGGATCCCTTGAGCCCAGGAGTTTGAAACTAGCCTGGGCAACATAGTGAGACCTCATCTCTATACAAACTTTAAAAAAATAGCTGGGCATGGGGGCACACACCTGTATTCCTAGCTACTTGGGAGGGTGAGGTAGGAGGATTGCTTGAGCCCAGGGGTTTGAGGCTGCAGTGAGCTATGGTTGTGTCACTGCACTCCAGCCTGGGCAACAAGGTGAGACCCTCTCTCTAAAAATAAATAAATAAATAAATAAATAAGCAAGCTTACAAGTATATTTACAGTGTATTTTCTCCATTAAAAAGAATACAGTCTGCAGAGAAGATTCAATGGAAGATATCGGCACTTTCCAATATAACAGCCATAAAATGTAATTTTGAAGAAGGTAAACTTTTTAAGGGACAAAAATAAAAAATAAGACCACTCAAAAAATTTTTCCCTTTATAAAAATACCAATGACATGGTATTTCAGACAGATAAGGGTAAGAAACTG